GTATTTTTGTGCATTTATTCTAGTATAATTCTATTGACATTCAAGAGTAATTTGATCCCATCATACAGTATGACGTCAACCATTTCAAAAAAGTACAGAACCATTTGTGGATAAAATGTTCCATTTATTTGTTTGTCAACTTATTTATTATTTACACATTTGCATCCAACCCTTTCCTCCGCAGACTTTATATAATTACATTTTGTTCAAGGTAATATAACTTAAGAATATGATGACTGTGTTTGCTGTGTATTCTGACTCTGGCCTTCTGTAGCTGCCAGTCCACTTAACCACCACTGAATGAACAGTATGATAAACATACAGTCACACAAACACACCTTTTAAACATAAATACTTCTTTAGACTGAGTTGTGGTTGACCAAATAGTTCTCTGAGAGTATAACTTACTGTGGTACAGTAATGTGAACAAAAAAACAAAAAGGATATAAATAAACATACAGTATGCTGTCAATATATACACAGGAAATGTAAAAACTCACTGATGACTCATTCTCTGTTGCAGCACCAATGATAGGTTTCCCCTGAAGAACCTACCACATTGAAGGAAAAGCTACAAAAATATGTAGTGTATCAAAAAAATGGTTCATAAATTAGAAATGACCAAATCAACATAAGTACTTATACAACATAACAAATCTTGATGTAACCGGTACATACAACACAAAGGCAAAAAAAAAAAAAAAAAGGCTAACTTGACATTATCAACTATTCTAGAAAGCAAATGAGCAGTTAGAGGTAGAGCACCATCTGTCAAGATGTACAGGTCCGACTGGGCAGGACCGAAGACAAAAATATCATGAAAACAATGTAAAATATAGCCTTTGATCAGAAAATGAAATATTTAAAGCAGTCACACATTATCCACATGCTATTGCACTCATTAAAAACTTTTAGTTAGACAGTGCTCCTATGTAGAGGCCTGGCTCCTTCGGGTAAGGCCTCGGCTTAGGATGGTCTGGGTGTGTTTGGGAGTGAGGGGTCAGAGGGAGCTGTGATTTTGGGGGTTTGGATAGGCTGCTTTTAGTGAGGCCCTACCCTGTGATCAGGGAGTAATATCTGTCCATGTACAGCCAACCTAAGCACTGTTTGACTAACAATTATTGACAAAACATATTTTACACAATTATCGATAAATATTGGTATACATTGTTCTCCTTTGGCTCTCTTGGACTGGATGTTCCACAGAGATTGAGATCTTCCATGTAGATCTGCCTTCGATTAGACTTTGGGCATTTGTTGCTCTGACAGGTCCCATTAACGGTCTCCAAGGGACACAACAAACTCTGAAGGATACTCTTTGGTAGGCAGCCATTTTTTGAAACAACTTTGAATTTTAGTAGTTCATGAAAATAGGTCACATAACGGTGATGTTGGTGTCAGAGGAAGCAGACTGGAGCGACTTCTATATGCTGCTGACTATTGGGCTGTGCTGTGGGAAATTCCTGTATGTCTACAATAGGTAGCTGACGACTGTCCTGAGTATGGAAGAAGAAATGTGATTGGTGCCAGCTGCCATCTCGGATCTGAAAAAGGACGGGTGGAAGAGAAAAAAAGAAAAGAAAGAAACATAATTTAGGTGATTCATATTAAAATACATATGATAGAATAAGCTTGTAAATGTATTTCAGATCCAAGCCTAATATATAAACTATCTTTTCAAATATAAAAATAATGTTTGCATGAGTTTCTTAAGCATGAAAAGAGCTGTATGGTGGAGCTTTCTGCAAATCAGCTCTATCAAAGTGTGTTCATTCTATGATATATCCGTAATCTCCAGGTAGAAAATAAACCAAATATCCTTCACTTATATTTTATACATTTATAGGCATGACTGCATCAAACAGTCGACAAGACAGGTCAAAATCTCCAATGGTAAAAGATTAATGTTCTAAAAACACATCAAGTTGTCAAGTCTGTTGAGTCATACTTCATGTAGACCCGAAGGGAAATGATTTTGCTGAATCAGTTCTTTGTCCATCACCTTGCACTCGTCTTGTAGCACATGTGGTTCAAGTAGTGTGTCTTTCTCAAACATCTGTTTGTTCCAGCCACGAAACCGAAGTGTGGTGTTCTCTAGCGGTATGGATCCAGTGGAGCTGTCTGTGGTGCCGTAGGGAGGATCATTTAGGCAGTGGAGTGTGATGCTGTGGCTGGCCTCAGTACTCAGTAAATGGAGAAACTTCATTTGGACTTTCCCAACACCAAACACCATCTGTTGTGGAGAGCCAACATAACCAAAATAGGATAAATACTTTCATTCCAAACATTTGAAAAACTGTGATACAACCTCCTACAATGTCTCCTGCCATTTAAAGGATTATTGCAGTTATTAGTTTTCTAATTTAAAAGAATTTGGGTGCAGTTAAAGTTCTATGTTAGTGCTTTATTGCTGTACAATCTGTTAGACAATGTAGAAAGGTTAAAAAAAATCAACAGACATGGAGAGGGAAGTGATACACATACTGTTCCCAGCATTTAATCATGGCACAATAGCCGCTATTTCTCTTCATTTAGGCTTCAGTAAAATAAGGGTTCAATCAACCCTTTATTTTAACAGGGTTTCTGCAGGTTTCAACAGGTTAAATTTAAGGTTTTTAGGACCATTATGAATGCAATTTAAGACATATTTCAAATCCATACTGTCAAAAAGAATATGAAGGACATGGAGGAGAATTGGTATTGGTTCTGTCAGTTAAGTTTTGTATTTGCTTTGTAGCACGATCAATACAAATGTTTTCAAAAACACATTTATAAGTGAGACTGAAAAAAATTTCAGAACACAAAACCAATTTAAGGCATAAAATGCAGCTTATTGGGTATTAGACTATTTTAAGACCCTGTGGAAACCCTGTTTAACCAGCACCTTGATATGTTGATACGTTCACCACTTCAGTGTTACCTTATTAGAGGCCACTGGATGTAAACAGGTCTGCCCTCCTGCAGTAAAATTGCAGAAGACCTTGAAGGCATCAGAAGTGCATCCCAAGTTTGGATCAATCCAGAACCAACCTGAAAGTCAAAGGACAGTGAGAAAGTGAGACAGGGAGGGAGAATTATGTAAAAGGTATATGCAACCATCTACATATTTTGTTGTGTAACCTCATATTTTGAAAATCCTGCCATCCCATCCTTTCAGTATCAGGAAGATAAGATTCTCACCATCTTTTAGCTTGTGCTGACAGTCAAGCAGATCTTTACAGATACGAGCTGGGTTCTCCCGAGTGCCCAGAGGTGTTTTGATGCTCTCAATCACACTGCTTAGGTAACGTAGAGTCTTAAGTATCTCCGTGTTCTGGTCTGGCAGGCTTACCTCTGTGTTCTGGAAACTCTGGATAAGAATGGAAATGACAACACTGTCAAACTCCAAAATTACATATTACAGTTAATTACAGTCTTCATTACAGTTACAATACTAACGATGAGTGCAAAACAGAATTTGTAAAGGATTTTGCATTCGAATTTTAAACTAATCTGTTAACATATCTGCCATCCATCCAACAATCCAGCCATTCACCCCGT